CGTATGCCCACATGTATTAGGGCAAAATTCCGCTGGTCTTCTCAAGCAGGAGACAGAAATTTCAGTCATGCCTCTTATTTTGTAATCTTTTTCTCGCAAAATCGAATGAGGCAAAATAGTTTGTTGCAAAACTTTATGACGAGTTGGGCTTAAACTATTCTCATTTTGATAAAATGAATTTCTAAATACGCTTGCAGACAGCGTTTGTTGTCCAAACGAAATCTGTTTTAATTTATTTATGAATTTTACTAGTAAATACTCGCGCTACAGGTATTTATTGAATCTTTAACTAATGTCTTTTAATCTCATGGTTTGCGCAGACACGGGGACAGTGGTAATCTGCTAGACAGCCTTTTAAATCGTATGGAGAAATACACCAAAGCAATGGAGGATCAAGTTAAGCAGCGCACCAATCAGTATACGGATGAGAAGCATCGAGTTGAACGTCTCCTAGAGACAATGCTGCCGAAGTAAGTTTATCTTCATGAGCGTTGCTATAGAAATATGTGTATTGGCCTAATTTAAGGGTAAAAGTATCATTACTTTAGATATGAAGACCAAGCTAGTGTGGCCACCTTTCTATCATTATTTTAGCTTATTATGCCCATTCTCATCGTCTATTTTGTCTTTTCAACTGACGGTTCTGACATGCATTGACCCTTTGGTGGAAATACAAGTTGCTAAAACAATGAGCTATATTAACGCAAACAGAGAAGAGACTTTTATAAATCATATTTGAAAGGATCGGCTAATAAAATATCAGTATAACTATAAGTTTGCTATTAAAAATTAGTATAATTCTTTACATGGATTGGATTTCTTTCCTCTTCTTTTATCTCTGCATTGATTTTATTCTGTGTGCCTTATGTTGATTTTAAAAGAGGAATTTATCAAGTTATATATCAAGTTAGATAATTTAATTAATTTGTTAGCCTGCTTTTATTATGTACTTGTGCAAATTAAGGCTAATTAAGCAACCTTATTTCTTCACTTCAATCTCCTAACTCGCGCCAATGAGCCAGGCGTAATTGAAGATATGAAAACCAAGATTTTTTGGCCTCTGGTATGGTCACAGTCCCCTTTCGGTTCATAGAAGTGGATTGGCCTCGTTGTCGCAACTCGGTCTTGTTGCCAGGGCGACTTAGTAGAATACACCTAGTCCGAAGTCGTCTGCCATAGTAGGCCAGGACAGAAAAAGGAGTGAGAGTGTAACCGTTTTTGGTAGAACGTTTGTCGAGGTATTGACTTCACTTGTCTCTGACGAT